TATTCTAGAAAACAATAATTTTCAAAATTATATAGTTTGTTCTTAAACAGACTGACTTTTTCTTATATACTTTCTTATATATTTTCTTATATAACTTTTTCTTATTATATGATATTTTTCCATATAAATTTTTTCTTAAAGCAATTTTGTATATCGATTTAATATAGTTTCGTATTTTCCCTTTTTCTCTTGATTAAATGCAAAGCCGCAAATGTTTTAGTGTAAAAATAGAAATGTTAATAAATGGGTGATACTAAAAAGTATACTTGTATTAAAACTCAAAACATATTTATCGATTTTTTGTTTTAAAATTTGCGATTCTATGCATGCAATTGAATGAGATGAAGAGATCACGAAACTGCATTATGTCGGTATATATTGCTTCATTATTTATCATGAAAATGTAATTTTTTATAAAAAGTAGAGATAAATAACCAATATAACGTAGAGTAAGAAAATGTTATATTATTTCTAGGATATATATCAACCATGCCAAAACGAAAATTATTATCGCAAATGTCAGAAAGACATTACAGACGATTGAAACGTAATGCACTTAATATTGCAATTATAGAAAGTATAGATGAGCAATCCATAAATGAGCTATCAGTAGATAGTAATACATCAAATGTTACTGCCACTAATGATCATAACTTCGATCAAGCAATAAATGTAACAACAAGGAAAGAACTGTCACAACACCATGACAATATCACTGATACTTACAATGAAAATACTACATATAATCTTTATTGTAACAGTGATTTTATTTTGAAGCAAAGTAATAATACTTTGAAGGACTCATGTCCAATCGCATCCATTTGTAACGAGAAAAATAATGATTTTACGAATTTGTCTTCTATTCAATTAATTAAGGGCGAGTTAATAAACTGGGCAGTACAATTTCAAATATCACAAACAGCAATTACAGCATTATTACAGATTTTAAGAAAATATAACTTTGACAGCTGTTTACCGAAAAACTGTAAAACGTTATTGAAAACAGCAAGATGTACGAGCATACGGAAAGTTGCTCCAGGAGAGTATTTTCATAATGGCTTAATATCAGGAATAATGGAATTTTTAAGAAATGATCCAGATAATGTTGATACCGTTAAAGTGCAAATTAGTATAGACGGACTACCAATCTCAAACTCTTCTACTAATCAATTGTGGCTTATCTTAGGCTCGATAGCGCCCAACTTTCGTACCATTTTTATTATTGGATGTTATTTTGGTCCCAAGAAACCAGACGACTGTAACGATTTTTTGCGTGATTTTGTGAATGAAGCAAAAAATGTTGTAACTGATGGACTTGATTATGGAGGAAAGCATATATGTATATCCATACATTCTTTAATTGCTGATGCACCTGCAAAGTCTTTTGTAACAGCTACAAAAGGGCATACAGGTTACTTTAGTTGTGCGAAATGTACAACTGAAGGTGAATACATTCTACACAGAATGTGTTTCCCAAATATAAATTGTCCTGAACGGACAAACGACAGCTTTATTAAGCAATCACAAAAAGAACATCATATTGGACAGAGTATATTAATAAATATTCCAAATTTTGGATTAATTAGTCACATCCCGTTGGATTATATGCATTTGGTTTGCATTGGTGTAGTAAAGAAAATGTTGAACTTTTTGTTATCGGGGCCGTTAAATGTACGATTGCCAACACAAGTAATACACAACATTTCGAGGTTGTTAATTGGAATGCGCACATCAATACCTATAGAATTTGTTCGTAAACCACGAGAATTGCATTTCTTAAGTTTATGGAAAGCCACTGAGTTGAGACAATTTCTTTTATATACGGGTCCAATTATTTTAAAGAAGTACATAAATAAAGATGTTTATAGAAATTTTTTAACGCTGCACGTGGCCATTCGGCTACTATGTTCTCCACAGCTTTCTTTCGTTTCTTATGCGGAATCTTTACTAGAACATTTTGTACGGTCATTCACAATCTTATATGGACCGCAGCATATCTCTCACAATGTACATGCGTTAATTCATTTAGTGGATGATGTTCTATCAAATTAAATTTATGTTATTATGATATTATGATGATGTTAGAAAATTTGGAACATTGGACACATTCAGCGCTTTTCGATATGAAAATTATTTAAGAAAAGTAAAACGGTTTATTAGAAAAGCTGAACGTCCATTGCAACAAATCCACAATCGTTTAACAGAATTGAAACATTTACTATTCAAAGAAGAATGTCGAAAAATAGGTGTATATGGAATACACAATGTAGGACCTATTTTACCCGGGATAAATAGTCCTCAATATTCAATATTTATAACAGCAGATTTTACTTTATCTATTCACAAACCAAATAACTGTTGTGGATTAAATAATGGCTCAATTGTAGCAATAAAGAATATTGCTACAACGACCTCTAATAAACTTTGTATTATTGGTCGAGAATTCCTTAATTTGAGTGACTTCTATACGGAACCGTGCAATTCCTCTTTGTTGGGAATATATAAATCTAACGAATATGGATATTTATCAGTTTGGCCTATAACGTTTGTTACGACGAAATATGTGAAATTTGACCTTTGCAATTCTGCATTTATACTTTTACCATTGTTACATACAGAAAAGATGTAATTTTGTTCTTCATACATCTTGTTAGTAAGTATGTTATGCAAATATATATATCTTTCAGATGTAAGATATTAACTACAAGATGTCTCTTTGTACAAATAAATTTAATTTGATAGAATTTGAAGATGGATTACAAGTGATACCAGATAACTGGATACAAAAGGAAAAAAATGAATGTTTATATCCAAATTATAAAACAGATAAAGATATAAATGCAGCGATTAGAACACGACAAACACCTCAAGATAATTGGTTATTATATCCAATTAAACGAATCTTTGGTACATATGGTAAGTGAATGTAACGCGAATTCTTTGACTCATCTAATAAGGTTGACTTGGAATCGACTAAACTCATATTTCGACTGTACTAATAATTCTGGAATGTGATGAAGCGTAACATATAACGGTCTTGTTATATACTTCATATATTTTGCGATATATCGTTTATTTTTAGATATTTTTAACTAATTGCGATAATAGAATGTTTCTGTTAGTACATTCAATCCACCTTACGAGAAATATAACAGTTTGCACCTTGTTGTACGAAGGTTAACCTTTTTTATTCATTATTGTTTATTTAAAGAAGATGTTTATAAAGATATAATTATATTCTATTTGCAAAGAATGGTTGAGAATTATTATGACATAAATATCTTGTACGTTTAGAGTCTTACAATGAAGCACGCAATAAACTAAAAAAGGCTGAGATAGATTCTGATATTACGGATACTGACAAAGCACAAAGAAAAATTAAAGCCAGGAAAGTGATTAGTTCCGATGATGATATTAACGATGATGATGATGATGATGATGATGATCATGAAAACAATTGTCAAACTCGTTTACCATCATATCCAAAAGCGTCTAAGGTTTATAGGAGTAAGTAATATTAAAATTAATTTTATTACACGTGTTTTCAGATATGCGTACAAGTATAAGACCATTAAATATTTGTAGATATTAGAACAAAACATAAAGATATGCAATGTGTGCGCCATTTTAGTCTTTTCTCTGATTTCTTACCGATCTCTCCCTCTCTCTCTCATCAGTCTCTCCCTCCTTAAAAAAATTTCTTAAAATCGGAATAAATCCATCGAATCCAGAGCGAATTGTCCCGAATAGCATTAAAAAAAATCGAGGACGAGTGAAAAATTCGGATTATACCGGTAAAATTGGGATGCTTAATTATCTCAGAATATCTTAAAATATTTAATTTGCCATTTGTTTCTAATTATTAAATTTTGATCCTAAATTTTATAGTTATATATCCGCTATTTTAAATTTTGCAATTTGAATTTCAAATTTGTTATCAGCGATCAAAAAGTTATACGTATTAATTTTCGAAACGATTGGTTCAAATTTACTAAACTTAAATATTTATTGACTGCTATACTATATTCGCTGCTTTTAATTTTACAATTCTAATTCAGGTTTGTTATTAGCGATCAAACGATAAATACATAGTATCTTAATATTAGATGTATGTACATTTAACTTTTTAATTAAATAGATATTTATCATATACAAAGTATCGAAGAAGCAATGTACTTTTTATACTACATTACAAATTTTTTTTTATATGAACTATTCCTTTTTTTTTTGCAACAGACATACGTTCCAACTAAAAAAATTGTCTTCCTAAATACTATAACAGAGATCACTAAAATACATTGATTCGTTCCAAAATACAGTTCTTTAAATTCTTTTTGGGATACGTCTCATCAAAATGGAAATAGTTAATATTGTTTTTTATTATATATGATCTACATTAAAGTAGAGTGGTCGACTTTTTCAGATACCAAACATGTAGATTCAGGTACCAAAAAGAACATAGTAAACACTATATGTCAAATAATCGATCATCACTAAATGCTTCGACTTCTCATAAATCAATGTTTGCAAAACAAGCAAAACACGATGATATCGATACATGTAATCGAACAATAATGAATGATATTGCCAGCAATCGTATTATTCCTGCAGAAAGTTCTGCCATCATGCGAGAAGATTATGTGGAATTGAAAAATAAAGAATACATTGCAATTAAAAGTAAGAAGAAAATAACTTAATAATAGATTAAAATTAGATAAAATGTCTCAATTGAGAAGCCATCAGACAGCATAAGTCTCCAAAGAGTCTTAGTATTCTTAAGATGGAAAATGTCCTTTAGACATCTTTAAAATGTCCTTTGGAAATTTATGCTATCTGAAAGGGAATATTTAAAAAATTGCATTTTTATAATATATATTAATTTATTTTCTTATATATTACATATATTTATGTCACTAGATTATTTTCAACGTATTGAGAGAATGTTGATAGAAATAAAATTTGACATTAATTGTCTAACTGAACAATATCAACATATAAATAATAAATGTTTCTCAAATGAGGCACAAGAACGTCATAATTCTACACCAACTGATGAATTAAGTGAGTTATCCTTCCCTCTGAAAACTATAGAAGAAGTCGAGTCACTAGAACGCATTCTTACTTCAAACGGAGTAGGAATAAAAGAGCATATGGTGAGTTATGTAAAATATAGTAACATACAGAATATCTGACAGCATTTGTACCAAAGCTAATATATAGTTAAAATAAATCGGGGTTAGTAATAGAATTGGTGCTTTTTTTCAACCACGTTAAATTTTGAAACATTAACGGCGAAAAATTTCTACTGAGCCAGCCTACTAGCTAATTAGCGCACGCGCTGTAATGGAACAAATACTACAAATAGTACGCGCTGTAACATGAGTATAGGAGACTAGCCGCACGAAAAAATTTTCGTTGTTAATATCTTAAAATTTCACGTGGTGATAAAAAAACCATCATTTCTATTATTAATCCCGACTTATTCTAGCTATATATCAGTTTTGGTACAGACATCCTGTATATACATTCCTTTTATGTATGTTCCTCAAGTAATACGAAAATATTTCAGTTTAACATATTAGCAATGATTGGTGGGACTAGCTATGAAGAAATGTCAAAAAGGATGCTTCTTTATGTTTTTACGAATGAAGTAGCTAGTATGTACAGTTAGGTAGGAGGTAAAGGAAAACGGAAACTTCATAATTTCGAAATAATGAAATTAATGTTTAGTAAGTATAAAGATTTTATAATAAAGAAAGATATTAATTTTTGAATATTAAAATACCTATGGGTGACGAAACTTCTACATAAATAGTTATTCAATTAATATATTAGTAATTAATTTCATTTTTTGACAAATTTAATATTGTTATTCTAGCACAACAAATTTTATGATACCGCGAAAATATTAAGAATTATTTAATAATATGAATATAATATAAATAATAGAAAATTAAACATTAACTGAAACTGTTGCAGAAGTTGTCAGGAAGACATTCCCTAATGTTACAGAAAAGAATTTTGAAATTAAATGCAAAGATTGGTTCCGACACGCGAAACAAAGAGCTGAAAACGAAAAATGACGGCAAAGTTCAACAAAGGTTAGTTTTATATGTAACTGCATTTCTCTTAAAATTAAGTAAATGCATATTTTTCTTTTAATTTCTTAAAAAACATAAGCATATGAAATATAGTATATACATAAAACTGAAATGTAATTTGTTTCATTGTTTCAGTAAAGTCGTCAGCTACATTTCTCAACTACAGTTCGCAGCTACAGAATTCTCAGTGTTCAGATTAATTAATCTTTAATATAAAAAATATTTTATGTTATAATGTTAATTGAGAGCCTATGTTTTTATATTAATTATAGATATAGTTGCAACTGTATTTTTGTATTACTACAACTACGTTATATATATATATATATTATAACTTGAGATTATAAAAAATAATAATATATATTATAATCAAATAAGATAGCAATAATAATAAACAAATAATAATAATAATGAACAAATAAAATCAATATTTATATAATTATAATTCATCTTTTTAAAGTAATTTTTTCCAGGTAGCAGGAATTGTAAGACTCATAATTAACATTTATTTCTAAGATCATCTTAAATTTATCCGATGAAATGCGGACTATTTTATTGGTTACAGAACATCTGAGGATATACTCAAGACAGTTTTGGAAATAAGTCTCAATTATGATTACAAGTCTAAGGGATGTCTTTAAACGTTAAACATCTGTGATGAGGATACTGTCAAATATCTTTTGTGTGTGTGTGTGTGTGTGTGTATTTGAGTAGATGGTCACGCGTGTAACTGAATGATGGTTGTGTGCTCGCAATTCATCACTGGCTAGCCTGCTCTTAACGTTACCCGGGGTCAACGACGTGAACGTGGCAGGAATCTGATCCCTGTGTTTATGCGCGCGCGCGCGCGTGTGTGTGTGTGTGTGTGCACGTGTGTGTGCACGTGTGTGCGCGCGCGTGTGTGTGCATGTATATAAAGCATTATTGCATACAAATTATATTGCAAGTGTTGTTGCAATGTTATACCACAATATTATTGCAATGTTTCATTGCAATATTGTTGCAAGCGGACATCTTACCTTTGTTGCAAGCTGCAGCTACATTTAGCAATGTTTTTTGCAATGTTGCAAAACAACGTTGCTACAATGTTATTACAACGGTGCTATGCTATGGTCTTCTACAGAGCATGATTGCCGCACGAAAATGATTGCCGCACGATAAACGGGAAGCACACACTTTTGCATAACGCATTATGCAAGATGGATAAGTGAATATAACCAATCAGAGTTCTTTGTTTGCATTGTGGAAAGGACCATTTATTTGCTTATGCGTCACGCATAATACAATAACCAATAATTTTCATTAAGGCTTTTGGGTAGTCACTGCAGCCATATTGGATTATGACGTCAGAAGCGCGGAAATGCATGTCAAAAATTCTTGCGATTTACAGCCAAATAAAGAAATATATTATTAAAATGATGCTTGCAATCTGCTCTATATACTTGCAAAATGTTCCGCACGGTCCTCTTTTGCCGAAATAAGTATTATATAACCGCAAAATAAATGCTACAAAATCGACTGATTTCCTGTCAAAATTTCCTGTCGATTTTATAACATTTATTTAACGGTTATATAATACTTATTTCGGCATAAGAGGACCGTCCGGAGCATTTTGCAAGTATATAGAACAGATTGCAAGTGTCATTTTAATGATATATTTTTTTATTTGGCCGTAAATCGCTGAAATTTTTGACATGTATTTCCTCGCTTCTGACGTCATAATCCAATATGGCTGCACTACCCAGGAGCCTTAATGACAATAATTATCGGAACGTAATTTCGTAATATATACACCGCTCACATACTAACATATTATTTTATTTTAGCACTGTGTGATTTGAAATGTTGCTACAAAATTGCAGATATAATAATGCAAAATATTTTTCTGCAATGTCTCTGCAATGTGCAATGTTGCAATGTTGCAGCAATGTTGCTGCAATTATCTGTGCTGTATGGAAAATATCTATAGATATGAGCTCAAATATTCTTTGAATATCTATTATATATCGAATTGTGGACATTTAGATATTTATGTAATTATATGTCCAATAAATAGTAGATATTCATGGATATTCTCAATACCCATGGATATTCAAATACATATTTAGTAGATATTCATGGATATTCTCAATATCTGTCGAGAATATCTAATGGATATTTCATAGATATTTTTATAAATATCCACTGCACGTCTATTAAATACTTATTAAATATCCATATAAATATTCACTAGATATGATAAGGATATCTAATAGATATTTCCTTAGATATCCTTTGGATATCTGTTAAATATCGAATTGTGGACATTTGGATATCTATGCAATGTACAATGGATATTCAGTAGATATTTGTAGATATTCTCAATATCTATGGATATTCAAATATTTAGTAGATATTCATGGATATTCTTAATATCCGACGAAAATATCTAATGGATATTTAATAGATATTTTTATAAATATCCACTGGACATCTATTAAATATTTACTAAATATCCATATAAATATCCACTAGATATGATAAAGATATCTAATAGATGTTTCCTTGGATATCTTATGGATATCTGTTAGATATCGAATTGCGGACATTTGGATATCTATGCAACGTACAATAGATATTCAGTAGATATTCATGGATATCCTGAATATCCATTGTGGATATCAAATGAATATCTAATAGATATTATTTTCTGTATGGGTAATTTTTTGAAAATGTCGAGTTTTATGCCTGAAAACGTGCATTTGCGACACGCATTACTTTTCTTGTTTAATCAAAAGAAAAAAGCCGCTGAAAGTCATCGTTTGCTGGTAGAGACTTACGGTGAGCATGCTCCAACCATAAGAACATGTGAAACGTGGTTTCGACAATTCAAATGTGGTGATTTCAACGTTCAAGACAAAAAACGTCTTGGTAGGCCGAAAACGTTTGAAGATGCGGAATTGCAGGAGTTATTGGATGAAGACCCAACACAAACTCAAAAACAATTGGCAGAAAAGTTGAATGTGAGCCGAGTAGTAATTTGTGAACGATTACAAACGATGGGAAAGATCCAAAAGATAGGAAGATGGGTGCCACATGAATTGAATGACAGGCAATTGGAAAATCGAAAAATCGTCAGTGAAATGCTGCTTCAAAGGTATGAAAGAAAGTTATTTCTGCATCGAATAGTAACGGGTGATGAAAAATGGATTTATTTCGAAAATCCCAAGCGAAAAAAATCATGGTTATCACCTGGCGAAGGCGGCCCATCGACTGCAAAGCCAAATCGCTTTGGTCGCAAGACCATGCTCTGTGTCTGGTGGGACCAGGTTGGTGTCGTATATTATGAACTGTTGAAACCTGGAGAAACAGTTAATACTGATCGCTACCAACAACAAATGATCAATTTCAACTGTGCATTGATCGAAAAACGTCCACAATATGCTCAAAGACATGATAAGGTGATTTTGCAGCATGACAACGCGCCGTCTCATACATCAAAACCAGTCAAAGAAGTGTTGAAATCACTTGGATGGGAAGTTTTATCGCACCCGCCGTACTCTCCAGACCTGGCTCCATCCGACTACCACCTTTCTGCATCGATGGGGCACGCGCTCGCAGAGCAGTACTTCGCCGATTTCGAAGAAGTTAAAAATGGCTCGATGAATGGTTTAGCTCAAAGGAGAAACAGTTCTTTTGGAATGGCATCCATAAATTGCCTGAGAGATGGGCAAAATGTATAGAATCAAATGGCCAATACTTTGAATAAATATATTCTAACTATCCATTGTAAATAACGTGTTTTCTTTAGCGAAAAAACCGGAAAGGAATTACCGACACACCTGGTATAATTGTTTTTTCATTCTCTTTGCCCTAATAATCAATAAATAATTCCGCATTAGTTGTGCGTTTATTTATTGATTATTAGAGAAAAAGAGAACTTGTTTTGATTATATATTTAACGAAGTGTTAGTTTTCTGTATATATCTAATCATTTCAACGTATTTCAACGTGGTGTATTGTCTTAAGATCTTTGCAAAATTTTCATTATCAGATCTCATTATTTTATTTTCATTTGTGATTTGATTGATTAAATTTGATTTGACAATTGAGATATTAATACTTTATTATTTATTAATATTTGCAATTTGATTTGACTATTGAGATATGGAAAATTGTGAAGAAATTTTATTTGAGATCTATTGAAATTTATTTGAGTTGTGTTTATATTCCATTATACTAGATTTTAAAGTTTATATTAATATATGATTATATTGATATATAATTATATTAAAATATAATTTATTTATATTAGTACTTAAAGGCACAAAATTTTAAAACGTCATTTCCTGGGATATCTGTTTGGTTACATTTGTAAAGATTTTAACAGAATGTTTCCTTGCTTCTGACATGTTTAATGAAACACTACGTTGTATCTCCTAACTTTATAAATATAAAACATTGTTTCGTGCCTTTAGATACCAATATAACTAAATTATATACTAATATAAATTATATATGAATATATAGTTTATAATCTAATACAATAACGCATTACAAACACAACTCAAATAAATCTGAATAGATCTTAAATAAAATTTCTTCAAAATTTCCTATATTTCAATTATCAAATCAAATCAAATCAAATTACACATGTTATAAAGAATAATGAAAATACAAAGTAAAGTAATAACATCTCAATTTTCAAATCAAATTAAATCACGAATGTTATATAAAATAAGTTCTCATATGAGGGAAATTTTGCAAAAATCTTATTTGAAACAATAGAGTACAAATCTTTATAAATACGTTGAAATGAACAGATATGTCCAGAAAATAAACGCTTCTCTAAATAATACAATCAGAATAAGTTCTCTCTTTTCTCTAATAATCAATAAATAAACGTACCATTAACACGATAGAATTATAAAGAAATAGACGCTAAAGAATAAATTACATGTCATATTATTTGTATAGTAATTTA